TCCAACATATATGCATTGTAGCACACTACCATGCTATGCACATTACTGTGTGATATAATGCATGCTAACACAAGAACAGCAAAATGTGAAGAAGCACTAAAGGAAACCTGAACTGAAAGAAATACATAGAAATCCACTACTAACCTTTCTTTCTGTAAATGCTAGTTTTGCCTGGCCACCACGTTAATGCAGCGGTTTTAATACCTCTGAAGTCACTGACCCTGGACATGTATGCAAACTTGCTGTTCTGGCTTCATTTGCTTTATACTTGTCCTGAATTAGCGATTCACAAATAATTAAAGTCAAAGACAAGCAATGTCCATATCCAAAAGGTAATAGCAGCTATTTCTCTTGACACAGGTTTCCTTTAATCTGCATATTACAGAATGCAATGTTATTTAGCAGCCTCTTGTTCGAGGATGTTTAAATGTAGTTGGGCAGGGCTGCATTGTGTGCAGGGCCAGACTGGGACAAAAAATAAGCCCAGGCATTTTAAACTGAGCAGCCCAATCACGTGACCCCCGACAGACCGCGTCCCGTCGCAATCTGGGGGCACAGCCAAACACAGAAGCGCAATCAAGTGGCAGGTCCAGCCGCTGGTAAGTACAGATGGCTAAAGCCAGCACACAAGCATTGCTACGACCAGCATGCAAACCTTGCCATACTATGCAAACCTTGCAACAACCAACATACAAACCTTGCAACAATATAGGAAGCTTTCTACATAGAAGTCTTGTGATATCCTAAGCGGATCTTTGCCTCCCTGTCATGGACCATAGCACCTCCAGGGGGCACAGGAACCAGGTCCTGCAGTTCCTGTGCTCGCCTGCAGGTGTTTTCGGGCAGCCAGAACATGTTAGGTACCAGACCACCACTGGGTAATGCTGGAACCCGCTTGCCCAGTCCTCACCTGTGGCTCTCTCCCAACTGTCAGTGATGAATCACTACCTGGGAGGGTATGTAATCCCTCCCTGCACTCAGGATTTTGCTTCAGTATCCTGTTGCCATTTCCTGCGAATCCTGAGCCCTGCTACCTGCTTGTTGTCCTGAGCCCTGTTACCTGCTTATGTTCCTGAGTTCTGTTGCCCTGCTCCCCAGGTTTTCCCCCTGTTACCTGCTTATGTTCCTGAGTCCTTTTGCTCTGCTCCCCAGGTTTTCCTGCCCTGTTATGCCCTGTGTGGGTATTCTGCGGTTTTCTCCTAATTTCGGTTTTGTATGTGCTTGGGTGTGTATTTAGTTGGTTGTGGTTTGTGTTATGTGTTGCTCTGTATAAAAAAAAAACACATATATATAAGCTCAATTGGCCTTGTCTGGTGGGGTCATGCATTTGGTCCTCCCGTGGGGGTACCTGCATGCGGTGAGGACACCTGCGCACGGGACCCATGACACTCCACATCCATCCTCTGCTCCCCAAGCACGGTGTACAGGTCAGTGCTCCCAAAATAGGGCTCACAGTTCTCCAGCAATGCCATCACAATACCACCTATTCCATACAAAGGCGCACCACAACACCACCGCACTGACAGTTTTTGACAGGTCTTTAAGAGCTGAGACTCTATTGGCTGGGAACTCTGCTGTGATACAAAATCTTTATTTGAAGCAGAGAATGCTGACACTCAGGTGGAAGCTTGCAGAATGTAAACTGGGCGTACGGGTAATATAATGTGGGCTGCCAGGAGCACAGGTAGCTCTCTAATTAGGAGCCCAAATTT